ATATAAAATGGGAGAATAAAATATTTACACAAAGCATGGTGTGCATCAAACCCCACCTCCGGGGACAGACCCTTCCTCACCCGGCTCTCGTGCTCTTCCTCACTGCAGCCCCTCGCCATGAGCAAGTCCTTCCGCAGGAGAAGGGATTGGGTGAACCCTTCCAGAGCCTCACCAGCAGTTACCTGAAGTTTGGTTTCCCAAAGTTCTTCCTCCTCTAGGAACTAAGACGTCACAGTGGATTATCAAAGCACGCAAGTGTTTTCTTCCAAAGAGAAAGTATTTACAATCAACTCCAACAAGTGGTTGCAGCAAATGCCTGAGGGCCCCGACAGCTTCACATGTGAGAGCAGGAGGAGAGAGTAGTTCTTCGAAAACTTAAGGAAATAAGTGAAAATCTATCTGCCAGGGAAAGGGAGCACTGGGGGTGAGGGGGCTATTAGCCTGGGGATCACAAAGTGAGATTCAAACCCCCTGTCCTGGCTCCAGTTCCTACTTCGACCCAGAGCTCACGCCTTGGCGGTGGGGCAGGGGCTGAGGGAGGATTCCCGGGACATTCCCAGGCAGCAGCAGCAGCGTGGTTGGTCCCACAGCAGAACCAGCTTCCACAATCTCCAGCTTCCAAGGAGGATGCTCCCCTATGAGTCGGTGCTGCGACAGTACTTGAAAACAAGTCCAAGCAGCTGCCACTTCCCAGATGATCCAAGCAGCTCAGGGGAGCGATTCTTGGAACAGAGAGGCACTTATACCCATCCTTCCTTCGCCAGTTTCCTGCAGAGGAATCCTGACAACCCATTCCAGAATCCTACCAGGATTCACATCAGCAAAAAGCACCAACGCCCCCCCAGCTTTGGTACAGTACAACAAAGCAGGAGGGGCTGTGGAGCTGTGCTGCAGACCTGCTGCTTTTCACATCGATGTCGTATCATCCCTGCTGATTCAAAGTAAGGATGGACTGAGCCCAACCACCGCCCCTGGCAGCACGTTTGGTCCAAACCACTCCATTATTCTGCTCCCTCCCACCTCGCTGTTTTCATTAAGTTACCCTAACAAAGTCCAAATGATAACGTACATAAATAAAACTCAAGAGTTGACATAGTAACTCCAGGCTTTAGATAGCAATTGTCCAAGAAATGAGAATACCAAAGCTTTGAAACGTGCTGAACGCTGAGGTTTGTCAAGGAGGGAAGGAAGAAGCTTTAGGTTTAAGCCTTCAGAGCATCACTGCATCAGTACATCAGTTCACAACCACCAGTCTGCAGCTGGGGAGCTCTGTGTCCCAAAAGAAACAAGTGCTTTGTCCTCCTAACGTCGACGGTAGCGACTGACAGTCACAGAACGGATGCACAGGACCTCGACTCTGACCAGCAGGGAAATGTAGGACAACTGAGTGCAGATACTGCCCATTTCTACCAGTTCAACTGTGCTTTAAGACTCATTGCAAAGCCTCAGCTAGAAAAATGATCATTACCTCTGGGTATCCAACAGAAAAATAGAGTTTCAATTTCTTAATTTCTTTTTTTGTTTTGTTTTAATCTCAAGCTCCTGCAGTTCAGCTGTCGATCATCTCCGACAGTTCCAGGAGGAGGTCATCCTCATCCTTCCCTGGGTCCAGATCAATTTCTGCTTCCAGTTTCCCTCCTGAGATTTCCCAAATCAGCTTCTCAAAGTCATCTTCTACAGACAAAGGTGCTTTCCCAGCGCCAGTGGAGCTCAGCCGGCGCGTCTTCACCGCCACTTGGGACGAAGTTGAAGTTGAGCTTGAGAGTTCTGACTGTGCCCCAGAGTCTGCCTGGCTTCCCATGTGCAGCTCTGGGCTTGAAGAACAAGAGAGAGAGTGAACCAGGGTATGACACTGCTTACCCAGAGAGATGGTTTCTACAAACCAGCTCTTAAAACCTCTTTAAACCCTCTTACATCTCAACCTTACATAGAGATTCTAATCCATTAATCTGGGGTTACTTTTAGGGCCCAGTGTACCGGCACTGGTACATTTTTCTGTCTGGGGATTTCTCCATGGAGACAGAACATGGCAAAGAAGGTTCCATTTTGGTACAGCCACAAGAAAGGCTGGTACCAACCTGCAGCACTGGAAGAAAAGAATCTAAATAAGTATTCATGCTGGCTGCCAGACCATTGTTTCAGATTCATTGCTCCTCTGGATTTTGGCATTCCTTAGCTCAAACCTCCACTTTTTCCACATGTGAAAAAACCCCTGATGTTTCATGTGAAAGACACATTGATCAAGAAAAAGAACAAGTGGTGGTTGTTACCTGGTTTGGGGTTTTTCTCCCCCAGGTATGGAGACAAGGCTGTCCTCTGGCAAAGCAGGAACAACAGCCTAGGAAGAAGGAAGACAGTTTTTATGATACACAGGTAAGACTTCTTAGTAGATTCCTCCTCTGCTGCTTCTCCCCTGGCATTGCTGAACCAAAACATTCCTGAAGAAATGTTAGGATTCACTCAATATACATCATAAACACTGGCACAGGGTGCCCAGAGAAGCTGCGGCTGCCCCATCCCTGGCAGTGTTCAAGGCCAGCTTGGACACAGGGGCTTGGAGAAACCCGCTCTAGTAGAAGGTGTCCCTGCTCGTGGCAGGGGATTGGAGCTGGAGGAGCTTTAAGGCCCCTTCCAACCCAAACCATTCTATGATAAACTTAAGTTTACTAATGACTGTGTGCTTTAAGAACACAGCATTAATGGACAAAATCCTTCACGCCACAGAGAATCCCAGCAGAGTATTATGGAAGCACTGCCATTTCATCTAATAAAAAGCAGGATGGCTACAACCATCTTACAAGCACTTGTGGATTTCAAAGGGAACAGAGACAGGTAAAACATTGCAATTTTCCATCTGTTCTCCAAGAGGAGGGTAAAACTTGGGCATATATTTTACAAGGGACCCACTACTGCTTCAGACACTGTCTTTACCACAGCTGCTTTTTTAGCTGGAGGCTCCTTCGTGTCACCACCCGTGGTACTCAAGGGCTTCACAGCTGCCACAGCAGAGGGGTGACTCTCGGCTGCCTTACGCTTCAGGGTATGCTTTGTGGGAGAGGTGGTTTTCCCATCTGGAGCCTTCAGGCACGCCTTGGATTTGGCTAGAGGAAAAAAGGAGAACTTAAGTCAGTTTTGCTCTGCCTCTGAAGGTAAAAAAAAACCCCAGAAGTTCTATCAGTCCCATCATCCTTCTAGTTAAATAGATTTGGCCATTACATTATACTGCCATTGCCCAGATTTCCAGCAGTATTTTCCGCATAGTAAACTCTATTCACTAGCAAGCCATAAAAAGGAGCAAAGAAGTTACAAAAAGGAGTCAGTTACAACATGAAAAGTGCCACCTTCTTTCAAAACAAGACCTAAAGGAACTCTTTAACACAGTGTCAACACCTACTCTTAGCTTTCCGTTCCTGCAGTGGAACTGCCTGTTTCCCTGGTGATACAGCAGCTTCCTTCCCTGGGCTTTCAACCCCATCTTCCAGAGGTTTCACCAGTGTCTTCTTCACAAGGTGATGTGCTGACCCTGAAGCCACAGTGGCTTCAGAGCTCCCTGATGGTGGAGTTTTATCCTTGATGGTTTTTTCAATGGAAGAAGGCACAGAAGCTACTTCCTTCTGAAGCTTCTCTTCTTGGTGGTGTTTCAGTTGCCGCTTCTCCCTCATTATCTCTTCAAAGTTCTTCACTTGAACTTTAGAATTAGTTGTGCTCTGATCAGAGAGCTGGAAAGAAACAAAAGCAAAGGACTAACAGGACAGAAAGAAAACCTGAGTGGCAATCCTTCTGAAATGGCTCCATGCGGAACAGAGCATGTTATGACCATTCAGATCTGACCTTTTTTCCATACCACGTTGCCTGGAACAAGATCCGTGCTTTGCTATGGAAATAGAAAAGCCTGCAATTCCCAACACAGCAAGCTGCTTTAATAGAGTAGAAGGCGCTACCTGTAATTTATTACACTCTCTTCAAGCAAGAGAAACTTGTACAAGCTCCCCAAAACAGCATTCACTGAGACTGATTTCCTCTTATACAAAGCTCCAGCCTTTTCTATTAAAATACTTAACCTTTCTTATCTTTCAAGTCTGATGGATAAAGTCACTGAGAACAAAACCATTCCCTTCACATTAACCTCACAGATTTTATCTGCTGTTAACAGGGTTTCTTATGCACTGTCAGGTGCAATCAGATTAATTCAAAGCTTGAAGATCCCAGTGTTGTCTGGAAATGCTATGAAAGTGACAAGACGGCTGCACTGCAGCACTTGGCAAATGTGGGAAGAGAAGAGCACTCTCAAACTGGGAGCATGCAGTGAGGTGCAACCAAAATATAACAAAACTCACCAGAAACTATATGTCTTCACAAGGGACTCACCTCTGCAGGTGTAGAGCCAGCTTTTGAAGAAGGCTTGCTCAATTCCACCACCTTCTTTTCTTCTCTTCCAGGTGCTTTAAAACAAGAACAAAACATTTATGATTTTATCCACAGCAGAGGTAAAGAAACCCGGTTCCCTTTGTCTCCCTGGTGCATTTGTTTCCTCACGGCTAATAACGGGACAAAGGGAGAGGCTAAGGCAAACAATCCCTGCAGCACTGGACCTGTCTTTCCCTCCATCACATTATCTCTTTACATGGGTTATAGCATCTTAACAATGAGCTCTTTAATGCTCTGTCATTTTGGACAAAAACTGGCCCTTACGTTATGTTGATACAATGCTTCACAAACACATATATAATCAGGAAGTTAAAAAACACATGCCAAAGAGGAAGGTAAACTTGGATTCAGCACAGGGAAGGTCCCATATAACAAACAGATGGCAGAAAAAAATACAACGGAAGAGAGGAATTCGACTACAAAGCTCCTGAATGAAGTTTCCAGTGGGAAATCCAGAAAGCTTTATGCAATTAATGGAAGTAATATAGTTGGATATTCTGGTACTTTTTTACCTTTGCAGCCTTAACTCTTTTATCTGCTAATATCATAGAAGGAAAAGCAAAAGGAACCCTGGGAAAACTGGATTTGCTTGACAGGGGAAGCAGGCACCAAACCATCCCATTACCTATCAGCTTGGTGATCCGTAACAATCTCCTCCCTGTCGGGGCAGGTTCGGGTTGTGCTGGTGGAGCTGGCACATTTTCTCCACTCTGCTGCAGCCGCAGAGCTTTCTCCTGCTTGATTTCCTCCAAGGTTTTAATACGCACTTCCCCTGGCTTGGCTTTCCCCGCTGGCTCTGCCAGCGGCACTCTGCTGGGCACAGATGGAGCCAGCACGCTCTGCTTCTTAGGCTCCCCCTCAGCTTTTGCCTTGGTCGGAAGCTCTTCTGGTTTTTGCTTCTCTTCTTCCAAGCGCTTCTGGTTTTTTTCAGCCAGGGCTCCTGAGAAAGTTTTGATGCGAACAGCAGGGGAAGGTTTTGCCCCCGAGCTGGGATCTTCCGGTTTACAACGTCCTTCAGCCTGGGCTTTAGCTGGAGGTTCTCCTCGTCTCTGAGTAGCTCTCTCAAGGCGAATTTCTTCCAGTGTTTTCACATGGATCTCTCCTGTCGGCTTAGCAGCCTTCTCTGCCATCATCAAAGAAAAGCACCAAGGTTTCAAGAGAGTCCAACAATATCTAAAAGCCCCTAAATTTGTCACAGTACTAAAGAAAATCAAGTTTGAGTGTTCCCAAGAATGCATCTTAAGACCGTATCATTCTGCATAACATTCTCCTCCTCCTTTAAGCCACCTGTATTTCTGCAGTGCTGTCCAGAGAGCTGTGGCACAAAGCCCCAGCAGTATATTTTACTTTGTTACTTTCTCAGGCTGTCTCTCTCTGTCAGCATCTCAAACTCCTGCTCCTGGCAGTGGTTCTACTCCGCTTGTGCGTAAGCATCCTGCAGCTTCTGGTTCACAGCAGGAACATGAACCCTTGAGGCACAAGTGGAAAGTACACACAGAGCTAGAGCCAGATCTCTGGTAACAGCCATCAGGACAGCTTCAGCACTCGAGCAAGAGGAATTGGACAGATGATTTAAATTCCCTTTTAGGGCAGTCTGGAAGTTCATGGTAAGAAAAAAGGGGAAGGCTTATTACCTGTCTCTGTGCTGGTCTGTTCAGAGGGCAATCCTAGTCTCTCCTTCAGAGACTTGGGGACTTGAACTACAAGACAGAACAGAAAGAGTCAGGGAGACTGCATAAATCTCAATTGTGTGTTCACATTTTGAAACGAGACAGGAGATCACCAGGATTCAGAGTTACCTCGAGCCCTCAACCAACACACACAAAGACCCGTTAGAAGAAAGGAGAAACAGAAAACCCAAACCAGACAATCTGTACATGAAATCCAGATGTCAGGTTAGTGGCTGTACCTCTCTTGGGGGCTTTGTCAGCATTCTCCAGCATGTCTATCTTCTTCCCCAGCCTTTCAGCAAGGTTGCGCTTCAGTGGAAAGACACTTTTAACAGCTTCAAAGAGACAGAAAACAAGAACTACTTTAAGAACATTTCTCTGGAGGAGGATTTGAGAACACTCAGCCACAAATTTCAGTTCTTCCAGGTAGTTTTTCTTGTATTTGCCTCTTAGTTGCTAAAACAATTTGCCGTTTCTGCACTCAATACAGATCTCTGCCAAAATGTATTTTCCTCCTGCATGTAACAAAAAAACCCTTAAAACCAGTCACACTCAGATGAGGGCACCCAAACCACAGCTCACAAAAACCTCTTACCTGTGGAGGCTTTCCGTTTGCCCAGTCTCTCAGCAATGTTCAGCTGAATCACAGGCTCCTCCCCTAAAACAAAGGGTAATCGCTTAGCACACAGAAGCCAGCAGCCAGTAAAAGCATTGTCTTTCCAGCCCATGCCCCCAAAAAAAGTAGTCAAAACAACATGAAAGAATGGCTACCAGTAGTAGTTCTACACTTTTTTGCCTTTAAAAGGCATTTGTGTGTATTTAAACACCACCATTTACACAGACTCATATAACTACTGCATGCAACTGCCACTGTCCGCCTCTTCAATGCTTCAGAAACTGGCTACTTGTACACCACCATCTTCTACAGGTCTTCCCTTCCATTTCTCCCCAGCTATCCCCTCATTTGCACACTGACACTTGTTTTGACATCAACTTCTCTCTGCACTTAACCCCAGTACCAATCCTGTCACACACTGTCGACACATGCACTCATTCACAAATCTCACTCAGCTTCTCAACCGAAGCCAAATGAAGCACGTTTGAGAGTCTGTAGGATGGTGATAATGTATGATTAGCTATGGCTTGAAGTCAGGCTGTTAAAAACATTTCTTGATCTTTTATTGCAATACAACCGAGCACCTACAAATGCTGAATCTTTTCCTTTAAGGAGAAAAGCATGGTTTTAATGAGAAAAATTCAACCAGCAGCCTAATATGTCTGAATTATCTTCATTATCAGTTAAGCTCTTGGTTTAGGAAGCAGGAAATGGCAATAATTCTATTCACTGTTACCTTGCTTTGCAGACAGTGTCACAGTTCTCACTACCGTCCGTACATTCTCCTTTTCTGGCACAGGAATAGTCCGAGATTGAAGGGGATGAACAGAAACTCCTGAAGGACCTTCTGATCAGAGCAAGCAAAACAGAAGGATGTTTAGGAAAAGAATCCAACCAAACAGAACTACCACAAAGACCAAAGCCAAAGCCATTAGGTATTCATTCCTGTCAAACGTACAATGACCGTGCACTTAAATTAAGAGAGATGAGCAATTTCCCTCTGATTTGCCCTTGGAATTCCAATCTAGAATACAAGCTCTCTGAGCTTAAGAAAACAGGTTGCATGCCAAAGTAGCTCAATGCCTCCAGCTAAACATGGAATTCTGGCCCTCAAGCAGATCTTGGCTGTAACCATCTCCCAGTCTGACCCCAACACTGCACTGCAAAAGGTTGTATTACCCAATGCACAGCCAGCTATCCAGGGAATATCAGAAGGATAAGAAGAGGCAGAAGTGAAGGAAATGAGGGCTATTAACTCACCACCTTGTTTTTTTGTTTTTTCCTTTAGTTTCTTCAATTTGATTTCTTCAAGCGTTTTTATTCCGAAATTTAAATTGTCATCTGAAAACACAAACCAGGCACTGAGAAACTAAGGCTGAAAGACACACACAGAGCCTCCAGCTTCTACCAGCTCAGAACCTTCCCAAAGTGTTTTGAATAAACCCTGCCAACACTCCCCTCAAGTGAAAAAAAAAGAGCCATACAACAGATGGTACTTTGGTAAGGAATTGGCACCTTTCTCCTCCCATCCTACAAGGTAAAACCTACAGTTTGCAGTATTTTAATCCATCTACATATTAGATTCCTCTGTCATTAGACATGGCTTTCTATTGTTTGGAAGGACATATTTGCAGCTTTTCAGCTCCTCTCTGTGGCTCTATTTTGTTCTGTAGAAGTAAACAAGGAGGAGTTTACCTGCCTGAGCAAGGGACATGTGACACCCTTAGACAGGAATGAGCTCATGGGAATACCCGACTCCTGACCTTGTGTTCTAATGTAATTTTACAACATACTTTCAAGTTCACTGTGAAATTCTCCTTCCAAACTCTGTTATTACAGCTGTTAGGATACCTTGCTTGGAATTAGCACTTGATTTCCTAGTGGAAATTATCCGCAATCCATTATGGGTTTCTGCTGCTGGTTGCTGGATGGCCATTTTAATGTCATCCCCTTCTTCAGAAAGCTGGTCTGAAAAGCAAAAATAAACCTATTCAGTTGCAGAAGAGGGATTAGATGAGATATCTCATGTTTATGCAGCTCCCACAATGACATTTCAGTCCACGGTCCACGACACAACTCGGGTATTCTGTGATTTATACATTCACTTAAGAGTAGAAATGCCTTCAACAAGTAAAAAGTGCTCACCATCATCATCTTCATCATCATCTGCAGCATTGATTACAACTGGAGGGTGTGTAGGACTTGGGACATTTTCAGAGTTTTCCACTTTCATCACCCCCCTCAGCTGGGGAGAGGGATTTGACTGAACAGAAAGTTTGTTTTGCTGCAGTGACATCGGAGGCATTTTAACATCGTCTTCCACAGACTCAGGTGGACTTGGAAGTGTAGCTAGAGGAAGAGGAGGAGCAGCTCTTATCTGGCCATTTAGAACTTTGACCCCAATGTTGCACTCACTGTGTGGATATGGTAGATAAGGTAGATAACCCACCTGGCTACTGAATGCAGAGTTTCCTATTCCCCACCCCTGCTTACATCAGTAATGCTTCCCTTCATGCACAGATCTTATGCCCCACCACCCAGAAAGGATTAAATGAGGGGAAAGCAACCTGAAAGGCAAAGACCACACGAAGCACAGAGAAGCTGAGCATGAAAGAAAAGACTAAATACCAGAATGACACGCTGCTCAGCTGAGAGCATGACTGCAGACTTCTCCTTGCACTCATAAATTAGCAGTTCCTTTATGTGTTCTATGGCATTGTACCCACCCATAAGTAATACTCAAGATTAACTACTTAATCCTTCAAGACAAAGGCCCCAGGAAACTCACTTTTGCTTGGAGGTAAGAAGAGTCCATCAACGTAACGTCCTTTGGTGTGATGGAAAGCACAGTTGGATTTTTGGCAGCCCACTGGCTGGTTCTCCCAGTAGCAAGGAATCTCACTGCGTTTCTTCTGAGGACAGAAAGCAAGCAAAGCTCGTGGTGACTCTCACCTTGATTTGCAAGGAGACATTTCCCACCACAAGCGGACCATAGACAGGTCGTGCAGTGCTGAAACATCACTCCAAAAGTCAATTTATCACTAGGAGTATTTCAGCTGTAACGATTCAGCCTTAGCTAAGCTTAGCTGTATTAACTATGTATTACCCACCTTTCCTGTCACCCAGTTTGAGCAGAGAGACACTCTCACGCATCAATTCATGTGGGATAAACTAATACAATGTGCAAAATACTGGGATTATTCAGAGGGAGAAATGTCTTCAATTGCCCAGCTAAATCTACTCAAGTTTATCTTCAGAGCCTTGGTTCCTTCCCATGTTTTCTCTCCCTATCCTGTACTACCCCAAGAGGTCAGAACGTCATCAGAAGAAATCCAGGACAGCAGAGACCTGCCAAGGCCGCTATCAAGCCCAGCCCTCAGGAGGTGAGTGTAGGCTGCTTGTTGCCACCATGCTCCAGCACATTTAAGCAGTCTGATCAGTGTGGTTGCTGCTGCCTCTTTAGAACATAATGTCAGCACCTAATACAATAATTTCGTGCTGAGATACACGTAAGAAATTGATCTTTTCCTTCCCCAACTTCCTCCCGCCCCTCTCCTTCCTAGCAAGAGGAACCAGCATCATTTTAAAGCAATGTAAAAGCACATTCAGTCCACCCACAGCAATGAAAAACTGCTTTCAGTGATTTGAGACCACATCTTTAGGCAATCACTCACATCGATCTCCATGTGCCTGAACCTGCAGATATTCCTGAAACAGCGACCCTCTTGCCAGAGTGTGCAGACTGTTTCATTTCCCAGAGCAGCTTCGCAGTGGCGGAAGGAGCAGCTGTCTCCCTGGAGCCAAAAGGGAATCAAAAAGGTAAATGAAACAGTAGAGCCTAAAAAAGATGCCCATGCTCTTAGAACTGGCAGCTCTTAGAACAGAACTTAGAAGATTAACTGCTTACTAAGTTCACAGAAGTCTGTGGGTCTCTTCCCACTCTTCCCCCTCAGCTCTGAAAACAATAAAGGAAAAAGAAACCAACCCCAAAGCAAAAGAAACCCAAACATACCTTGTTACATGTGGAATAGAAATAGAAGTAGCAGTCATCTCCTTGGTTAGACATAATGGACAAAGTCGAGGTTCACTCAACAGGGACTTCCTCCAGTCTTCCAGTCTGAAGCTGGCTTCGCTTTCTTGGACTGAAAGTCTTCTACTGGCTTGATCAGTGAAATCTTCTTTTTAAAAGTAACCCTGAAGGAAGGCATCCAGAAGTGAAAAACAAAGGAGGAAGGAGCATTTTTCCAGCTGCCTTCTGTTAATCAAACTAGTCTCTTAGGAGGGGACAATGTCTTGAAATCGGCTGGTTACAAAAACTATCCCAATACAAAGTGAAGCTGCATGGGTTTTGCCAGCAAGCAGTCTCTTCTGTATCCTTAGCAATAGTTACATGCCTTAGAGCACAAGAAACTACTGCTGGAGGCCCAAGTCTTTAAAAATGTGGTCATACATTTGAGCTATCAGTCAATGGTTAACTAATAATTCCTATAAAATACAACTGACATAGTAAACTTCCTATTCCCATCACCACAGATCTTCCAGTTCACGTACCTGGCCAACTTCAGCAAAGATACTGATCTTCAAAGACTTCCAGTTAACTTCTCCTGTAGGCCGAACCAACACTGAATCCGTGAATTAATAATAAAGGGGTAGAAAGACTTTTCCTCCTCACATTGCCAAGGGAACCTCTCATCCACAATTCAAACATAGGATGTGCTTTTAAACATCTTACAACTAATGGAGGAAGCAAGTCCATTGGAATACTGTCAGACTGGAGACAGCCAGGGTTAGTTAGCTCTTCAGAAAAGGAAAACCAAAAAAAAAAAAAAAAAAAAAAAAAAGGAAAAAAAAAAAAACCAAAAAAAAAAAAAACAACCCAGGGCATTTAGAGATGAACTTGTGATTCAAAGTGGCTGCAAAAATGAGGCTCCATCTTCCACAGCCGGGCAATTGCAATTTTAATTTGGTTTGGTTTTTAATTTAAAATGCAGTAAGTTGCAATCTCTGGTCTTCAAGATTTCTTCACCTATTAAGAAAACACAAAAATCTTCCCCCATCTTTATTACCTGTACAGCAAAAAACAGACTTTGTGCGTATAAGCACACAAATATGTATATACATACACATCCGTGTTTATACACACAGCGAGAGTGAGGGGTAACAAAGTCAGGAAGGGTGAGAGGAAAAATTTGAATTTTGGGCTATCTGCCACAGAAGATTGCAAACAAAGTCTCTCATTTAGAGGGAATTGGCAAAAATCAAAGATCTACAGAGTATTTTGATGACTACGCCTTTGAGGCTGACGCTTTTTATAGGTAGAGATATGGAACGGGAGTGATTTGGGGCCAGCACACAAAGATGCACATGTCTGTACATGCATACAGTGGAAACGCACCCACACACACACACACACACACGTGCACAGTACACGTTGTCGGATACCCGTGTGGAGAACAGCTCTGAGCCCCCATCAGCCACATCAAGTTGCAATCAATCACCAGCAGGAAGGCAGCAGGTCAGGGTACAGCAAGCTTTGGGAGGCAGGGAAATGCTCACTTTGCCAGTGGCATGGCTGCATGATACCGACAATTTGGAATTCCTTTTATTTTAGGAAAGAATTTGTTTTCTTTTCACAGCAGAGCAAACGCTATGAGTTTGCCATCATATGCCGCTCCTTAATCCATATATCCATCATTAGCCATTGCTGCAAGATCATGGGAGGCTTGGAAAGATGCCTTAGGTCCAATTCAATAGGGATGATTTTTTGGTGCCAACAGAGCTGAACTGATTTTTTTTAGCTACGAGCAGTTTGGGCTTTTTTTAATGTTAAGTCAGATGCTTTGGTTCTTATTTAAGATACTAAATTCCAGAAGACCTGCAACCAGACCAGATAAAAGTTCAATTTTAAGTGATTCTGACCCCTTTCATTAAAATGCTGCACATTTCTGTGCAAAGTGTTTCCGAGTCTTTTGGACAAAACTGAATGAAATTGTTCTTACAAATTAATAATAAAAGGTTGGAACCTTTTTACTCACACAAACACTAGAGAACTTTCCAGGATTTTTTTTTTTTTTTTTGCAGGGAATATTCTCAAATCTAAAATAAAGAAAGGAGAAGTTGGGTTCTTGTATTAGTTACTGGGTTTTGACTGCTTGACAGAGGGAATAAGAGCAGTGGTTAAGTGCAAGGGCTTCTTCCCTTCCTCAGTATCGATGGGAGTATTTGCTTTTGACCTTTAGCACCTTCCAAAACAGACTTTGTGTCACACAGATCCCTGTGCATCTACTGCTAAAAATTACTGGTGCTCCTTCATGGAGAGCTTTGCCAAGAAACCTTTCTCCAAACGTGTTCCAAATACCAGTGATAGTTCAATGAGATTTCAAGCACGACTCTTCGAGCCTGCACAAGCCAACAAGGAAACAGACGGCAATTAAGGACCACTGCTTTGCTGAGCAGACCCATTCAAACACAAATGGGAAGGAATTCACAGTCTAGAAGCATTTCTTTTTCCTAGGAAGTGAGACACACCTGTACAATGCAACATTACTTTATCCACCACCACGGGGGAGAAAAGAAATCCCCTTGGAGCAGCTCAGCACTTTGCTTGCTGCCTTCTATATTCCTGAGCAGACTTCAAGAGCTGTTCAGAATGTGAATGGATCTTGTTTAAGGAATGGGAAAAAAAGCAAAACTTGAAATGAAACACAACAGAAACCCACCAAATTTCCCACCCCACACAAAAAAAAAGTATCAAAGTTCTAAGCTCCATCTAAAAAAAAAAAAAAATCCTTTCATTTTAAAAAGGGTGAACTCAAAACCACTTTTCGGTTTCTTTTTTTAACCTGGGAGCAGTTAACACGCAACCTGAGCGCTAAACAGAGATCAACTGAACTAACCCCTGAAACTGTGAGTGAAAATGAGTAACTCTGGAGCACTCAGCAGCTCTCTCATGGAAGTTGATGAGACTTTTAAACCCTTTTTTCTCCCCCTCCAGAAATGTAGCAAAGTTTTTGTTTGAAGAGATTTTGAATTCCTTTAGGAAAACTAAAAGAACTACAGATGCAGCAGGGGTGGGTCAAGATTTTTTGTGCCAACAAGCGCCATAACGTTTATCTTTGACCAAGGGAAGATAAATAGTACAACGAGAGTCTGCAGTTTGTTTTACAAGCTTGTCGTTCTCAGACCTGAAGAAATAGTCCTACTCCCTGGTCTGACCCTCCAGATTGCTGCCCTGCCTTTGTCCTGGATCACGGAGCAAGAAGGGAACAGGATGGTTTTGCACTCCAACAAATGCATGAGGGGCGCTTTGTGGTTCATAAGGTATGAAGTATTTCACTTGGACAGTCTCTCTTGCTGCTCTACTTTGTGCCTTTAACCTCTTAAAAGATAATAATGATACTTAACAACCCTGTTTGCTGGAATAGTTGGATGACAAGGAAGGAGGAGCACCAGGAACTGAAGTGCAGAACAACCTCTTGCTAACACATCTCACTCGCTGTAAATCTAAAGCTTAGTTGTCCAAAGCAGAGTCCACTCTAGCTGTTAAATGCTGCCTAAACAGGGATTGCAGGCATGTGCTGAGTGGGGGTGACAGCACTCAAGAGCCTTGCAGAGTACAGACCACAAAGCTGCCAGCCAAGAAAGCAAAGGTGAAAGCAGATGATAGGCCCAGCTTCCTCTGCCACCGAGAGAGGATCATCTTTCATTGTGATCTCTGAGAGTCAGAGCCATGAGTTGTGGTGAGTTACTACTCCCGGGAGGCACAGCTGTCCCTCGCTAGAGCAAGTCTGAAGATGTGCTGCTTCAGGGACCTGAATGAGTACGTTCTTCCTTAAAAGAGGCAAATCAACCTGTTCCTGAAAGGGCTGATTGGCTGTCAAAGAATAACCCTGAACTGAAGCACTCACCAGATCAGCTACTGCTTCAGTAGAGATTTGTCTTTAGCTTGACACACCAAGATGCAGAAGGAATTACTCAAAGCAGGGATCTAGTGAAGTGGCCAAGACAAAGCGTTCAGATCTGAGCACACTACTCTGTAGAAAATCAGTTTCACCCATCTCCCAGCCCAAGAGTGACACATTTGAGTTCAAAGTTTCTACATGCTCCCCAAAGCCAGAAGGACCGATGGCAGCAGTTGATTAAGAACTACAGTTCTCCACTGGCCTCTGCCTGCAGGCCAAGAATCTTGCACCCATCAGACACCTGGCACTACTGGAATGAACTGAGAATAGCCCCATTCTCCCTCCGGGGAAGGATGCTGCTCCACCTTCTGCTGGTTTAAAGTCACTTTAAAGCATAAAAGGTAGACAAAGGTTCACTGAACAGCTATTTCCTGCTTCAAGTGATCCTGTGGAAGATTGTTTGAATGCTGGAGTTCCTGAAGAATTTGATGAGCAATCTCTTAAGCAACCTGTTCTCAGTGCTCCTGTGCTCTGAAGTCCTAAATCATTAGTTTTAACCTAGCACTGTGTGCACAAGCTCAGTGGTGCTGTCAGAAGCTGGAAAGCCAGGAGTGAGGGATTAAGGGAAAGCCACACATCAGTTTGGTAACTTGGTTCTTGTACGACTCTTTCTTACTACAGCACAAGTTTTAGTAAAGCCAGTGGGAAGGAGCTGTTGTCTAAAAAGGGACCGCTGCTGGTGCAGTGTATCCAAAGATCTCCAGTGGGCCATCACTGTCAGGTTGTCTGTGGTTGGTTCAGGGTCCACATATCAATGGTTAATGTGTATTTTTAGGTTGTGCTTTCTCCAACGCCATAGAAAATGTTGCTTCTACAATGCCATACATTCACATTAGAGATGGGAATTGACAGTCTAGTGCTACAATCTGTAAGAACTTCTAATACGTTGGCCTTGAAAAAGAGTGTCTTCAATAATCAGTTTTATAATAGCTCTGTTTATCTGTTATTTAAGTGCATTCTCATATCTGAGCTCCTTCAGAGCAGCTTGAGGTTGAGTCCCATGGCCACGATTCATGTCCTTTCTCCTACCAAGCATATGCTCAGTAGGCAAAGATGGAACAGGAACACCCAAGCCTGGAGATGTTACAGCACAACTAAGCCTATC